TCAAGTCAAAGAATGAAAAGTAGTATTTAACTTCTGAATGTATTGCTAGGCCCCAATTTGACCACTAATTCCCTATACTGTCTTAATAGAGACTTTTGGTCTGCAATATCAACCAGCATTTTTTTTTTTTTTTCTTTTTTGAGACGGACTCTTGCTCTATCGCCCAGGCTGCAGTCAGTGGCATCAGTGGCACCGTCTCTGCTCACTGAAACCTCTGCCTCCCAGGTTCAAATGATTCTCCTGCCTCAGCCTCCTGAGTAGCTGGGATTACAGGCACCCCGCCGCCATGCTTAGCTAATTTTTTTGTATTTTTAGTAGAAACGGTGTTTCACTGTATTGGCCAGGCTGGTCTCAAACTCCCGACCTTGTGATCTGCCTGCCTCAGTCTCCTAAAGTACTGGGATTACAGGCGTGAACCACCATGCCCAGCCCTGATATTAAATAATTATTCGATATTGGTTTAGACATTTCCAGAACTCTTAAGTAATTAATGGGTTAATATTCTCCAGTTTAGTAAAGTATAATTGCCACTTGTTTTTCTTGTCAAAAGACTTGATAGGCTTGGCTGGTGTCTCATGCCTGTAATCTCAGCACTTTGGGAGGCCAAGGCTGCCAGATCACTCGAGCCCAGAGTTTGAGAACAGCCTGGGCAACATGATGAAACACCTTCTCTACAAACAATACAAAAATTAGGCAAGGCGCAGTGGCTCATGCCTGTAATCCCAGCACTTTGGGAGGCTGAGGTGGGTGGATCACCTGAGGCCAGGAGTTCGAAACCAGCTTGGCCAACATGGTGAAACCCCACCGCTACTAAAAATACAAAAATTAGCCAGGCATGATGGTGCATGCCTGTAATCCTAGTTACTCAGGAGGCTGAGACAGGAGAATCACTCAAACCCAGGAAGCGGAGGTTGCAGTGAGCCAAGATTGCATCATTGCACTCCAGCCTGTGAGACAGAGTGAGACTGTCTCAGAAGAAAAAAAAGGAAAAATACAAAAACTAGCCAGCATGGTGACACACACCTGTAGTCCCAGCTACTCAGGAAGCAGAGAGGTGGTAGGATCACTTGAGCCCAGGAGTCGACACTGGAGCCATGACACTTTTTTTTTTTTTTTTTTTTTTTTTTTTTT